CAGTGTGGACCCCAGTGTGGCGGACCCCAGTGTGGCGGACCCCCAGTGTGGTGGACCCCAGTGTGGCGGACCCCCAGTGTGGCGGACCCCAGTGTGGTGGACCCCCAGTGTGGCGGACCCCCAGTGTGGCGGACCCCAGTGTGGCGGACCCCCAGTGTGGCGGACCCCCAGTGTGGCGGACCCCCAGTGTGGACCCCAGTGTGACACTCCCTGCTACTAGCACTATTTAAGTGTCAGTAGCACTTAAATAGTGCTTAGCACATAGCACTTATATAGGAATATAGTTTATTCATTAATACTTATTTATATATTAATTTATACATGTCCATATTAAATAACTAATTGTTGTTGTACATTTTCATCAATATTTACCTCATATCTTCTCTTCTTATTCTGGCCTTCAGTTCTTATTCAGACAATATTTTACAAAATATTTTCAGGAATTTTCATTTTCCATATAAAGTCCGCGGTCCTCCTCCTCCTCCTCTTCTCTCGTACGACACCAACTATGTTGTCAGCTGCTTGTATGCTGTACGATAATGTCGACACACGTCTTTGGTACGATAAGACAAATACTGATGTTCAATTGTTGTTAATTCCTACACTGTTTGATAACATAAACATTGATGTTCAATGATTGTTTTTATACTGTTCGATAACACGAACAATGGCGTTTGGCAGTTGCACACACTCGCGCCAGTTTAATAGTCGGTTTCAATTTTATGAGAGAATTTGTCTTTTGGCCACGTGTGGTAGATAAACACTTGTTCCAGTACTCACATACCCATGGTTGTGAGACCAACACCTGCATCAGTGGGTGACACAGATGTTCCAGTACTCACATACCCATGGTTGTGAGACCAACACCTGCATCAGTGGGTGACACAGATGTTCCAGCACTCACATACCCATGGTTGTGAGACCAACACCTGCATCAGTGGGTGACACAGATGTTCCAGTACTCACATACCCATGGTTGTCAGACCAACACCTGCATCAGTGGGTGACACAGATGTTCCAGTACTCACATACCCATGGTTGTCAGACCAACACCTGCATCAGTGGGTGACACAGATGTTCCAGTACTCACATACCCATGGTTGTGAGACCAACACCTGCATCAGTGGGTGACACAGATGTTCCAGTACTCACATACCCATGGTTGTCAGACCAACACCTGCATCAGTGGGTGACACAGATGTTCCAGCACTCACATACCCATGGTTGTGAGACCAACACCTGCATCAGTGGGTGACACAGATGTTCCAGCACTCACATACCCGTGGTTGTGAGACCAACACCTGCATCAGTGGGTGACACAGATGTTCCAGTACTCACATACCCATGGTTGTCAGACCAACACCTGCATCAGTGGGTGACACAGATGTTCCAGCACTCACATACCCATGGTTGTGAGACCAACACCTGCATCAGTGGGTGACACAGATGTTCCAGTACTCACATACCCATGGTTGTCAGACCAACACCTGCATCAGTGGGTGACACAGATGTTCCAGCACTCACATACCCGTGGTTGTGAGACCAACACCTGCATCAGTGGGTGACACAGATGTTCCAGTACTCACATACCCATGGTTGTGAGACCAACACCTGCATCAGTGGGTGACACAGATGTTCCAGCACTCACATACCCATGGTTGTGAGACCAACACCTGCATCAGTGGGTGACACAGATGTTCCAGCACTCACATACCCATGGTTGTCAGACCAACACCTGCATCAGTGGGTGACACAGATGTTCCAGTACTCACATACCCATGGTTGTGAGACCAACACCTGCATCAGTGGGTGACACAGATGTTCCAGTACTCACATACCCATGGTTGTGAGACCAACACCTGCATCAGTGGGTGACACAGATGTTCCAGTACTCACATACCTATGGTTGTGAGACCAACACCTGCATCAGTGGGTGACACAGATGTTCCAGCACTCACATACCCGTGGTTGTCAGACCAACACCTGCATCAGTGGGTGACACAGATGTTCCAGCACTCACATACCCATGGTTGATGGGGTTCGATGTAGGGCAGATTAGGAAGGCTTGGCCATGGTAGCGGGCGAGGAGCGGGTGGAGGTGATATACCACAGAGGAGCGCCAGGTGTGGCAGAGATGTAACCAGAGTCGGAGGCTGATGTGAGAGCCAAAGCAGAGCTCCACAACAACTGTACTCAGCCACACCCATCACCACACTGTAGAACCTTCACTTGTATCTACACCAACACACACACACACACACACACAACCTCCGGTTCGGGAAGCCGGTGGCTGAGCGGGCAGAACACTGCACGCGTGATCCTGTGGTCCCGGGTTCGATCCCGGGCGCCGGAGAGAAACAATGGGCAGAGTTTCTTTTACCCTCATGCTCCCTGTTACCTAGTAGTAAATAGGTACCTGGGAGTTAGTCAGTTGTCACGGGCTGCTTCCTGGGGTGTGTGTGTGTGTGGTGTGTGAAAAAAATAGTAGTCAGTAACAGTTGACAGTTGAGAGGCGGGCCGAAAGAGCAAAGCTCAACCCCTGCAAGCACAACTAGGGGAATACAAGAGTGCACAGTGGACCCCAGCGGACCCCAGTGGACCCCAGTGACCCCCCTTACCCTTCACGCCTCTGACACCTTACATATATATCTTGTAACCATTAATACACAATAAAGCACAAAATAACACAAAAGGAAGGGGGGTGGTAGGAGAAAAGCACACAGAAACTGTATTGGAGGGGACCTAAACATTCCCTCTAATGCGTTATGTGTGGTTTCCTCCGAGGCTATGGGTCCCCTTCTACCAGCCAGAGGTGGTACTTCCTTCCTTTTATATATATATATATATATATATATATATATATATATATATATATATATATATATATATATATATATATATATATATATATATGTCGTACCTAGTAGCCAGAACGCACTTCTCAGCCTACTATGCAAGGCCTGATTTGCCTAATAAGCCAAGTTTTCATGAATTAATGTTTTTTCGACTACCTAACCTACCTAACCTAACCTAACCTAACTTTTTCTGCTACCTAACCGAACCTAACCTATAAAGATAGGTTAGGTTAGGTTAGGTAGGGTTGGTTAGGTTCGGTCATATATCTACGTTAATTTTAACTCCAATAAAAAAAAATTGACTCATACATAATGAAATGGGTAGCTTTATCATTTCATAAGAAAAAAATTTGAGAAAATATATTAATTCATGAAAACTTGGCTTATTAGGCAAATCGGGCCTTGCATAGTAGGCTGAAAAGTGCGTTCTGGCTACTAGGTACGACATATATATATATATATATATATATATATATGTCGTACCTAGTAGCCAGAACTCACTTCTCAGCCTACTATGCAAGGCCCGATTTGCCTAATAAGCCAAGTTTTCATGAATTAATTGTTTTTCGACTACCTAACCTACCTAACCTAACCTAACCTAAGTTTTTCGGCTACATAACCCAACCTAACCTATAGAGATAGGTTAGGTTAGGTTAGGTAGGGTTGGTTAGGTTCGGTCATATATCTACGTTAATTTTAGCTCCAATGAAAAAAAATTAACCTCATACATAATGAAATGGGTAGCTTTATCATTTCATAAGAAAAAAATTAGAGAAAATATATTAATTCAGGAAAACTTGGCTTATTAGACAAATCGGACCTTGAATAGTAGGCTGAGAAGTGCGTTCTGGCTACTAGGTACGACATATATATATATATATATATATATATATATATATATATATATATATATATATATATATATATATATTTTATATAGGGAAGGGAGTACCACCTCTGGCTGGAAGAAGGGGGACCCATAGCCTCGGAGGAAACCACACATAACGCATTGGAGGGAATGTGGGTCCCCTCCAATACAGTTTCTGTGTGCTTTTCTCCTACCACCCCCTTCCCTTTTTTTTTTTTTTTCTTTATTGTGTATTTAAAGGTTACAAAACATACAAGACAAATGCCTAAAGGTTATGGATCTCTTGAAGCTCCTCCGCTTCTGGACAGGAACCGAGGACGCAGCAAGCATTTTCCCTCTGGATCGCCACACTGAGACGCTGAAATAAAAAACTGGAAGCCCTTGGGTCTCTGGTGACGTCAATGAGCTTGGACCCCAATTCCTTGAGAAATCCCAAGGCACTCTTGCCCCAGGGGCCATGCGTCTCAGACGCTATGGGAACAAAGAGGTATTGACCTTCCAGTCGCCTGTACTTGAGTGATTTTGCTGTTTCCCTGTGGTTGGCCGCCCCACCTGCTTGATCAGCTCCGAAGTGTACATAGGTGTCAGCCAGGGTGGATACACATGTGTAGTCCCACACCAACTGTCTACCCTCCTTCCATGAGTATATGGTGATGCCATCAGGGCGAAGTGCTGGGAAATCCGGGTTTTGGACCCCTAGGATGCGAGGTTCTCTCTCCGCTGGGCACCCAGCTGAGACGAGGCTTCTCTTGATGATGTCATTGACCTCGTTGTGTCTTGCATGCCAGCCCTTTGTGCTTCCGCAATGCAACCCATGCAGTCCGTATTGGTCTGCTTCCACCCTGTTGCAAATACACTTGTATTCAGTGTGAATTGGGGCACCAAGGCGGAGGGCCACTGCTACACGAAGGGATTCTGGATCTAGGCGCGTGCCCATTGCAGACATGGGTACTGCCAGGAGGAAGTCTCCTGCATGGGGGGCACGCACTGCTCTGAGGCGGGCTTTCTCCTTGTCTGATGTTGCGACGTATATATATATATATATATATATATATATATATATATATATATATATATATATATATATATATATATATATATATATATATATATATTACGTATATACACACACACACACACACACACACATACGTGGTACTGGTACACCAGAGAGGTACAGAGAGGCAGACATGGGATAGATCCCACATACACCAGCCAGGTGCTGGTGTATGTATTGTGAGAGCGCGCCAGCAGGAGCGCCCCATGTTGCACAGACGATGGCCGGTTCTGTTCACGGCGGGGCTGTGCTGAGCGGGGTGGTGCTGGCCGGGGCTGTGCTGGCCAGGGCTGTGCTGAACGGGGTGGTGCAGGGTGGGGCTGTGCTGGGTGGGGCTGTGCTGGGCGGGGCTGTGCTGAGCGGGGGCGGTGCTGGGCGGGGCTGTGCTGTCCTGGGCGGGGCGGTGCTGAGCGGGGCTGTGCTGGGCGGGACTGTGCTGGCCAGGGCGGTGCTGGGCGGGACTGTGCAGGGTGGGGCTGTCCTGGGCGGGGCTGTGCTGGGTGGGGCTGTGCTGGGCGGGGCTGTGCTGGGCGGGGCTGTGCTGGGCGGGGCTGTGCTGGGCGGGGCTGTGCTGGGCGGGGCGGTGCTGAGCGGGGCGGTGCTGGGCGGGGCTGTGCTGGGCGGGGCTGTGCTGGGTGGGGCTGTGCTGGGTGGGGCTGTGCTGGGCGGGGCTGTGCTGGGCGGGGCTGTGCTGAGCGGGGCGGTGCTGAGCGGGGCGGTGCTGGGCGGGGCTGTGCTGGGCGGGGCTGTGCTGGGTGGGGCTGTGCTGGGCGGGGCTGTGCTGAGCGGGGCGGTGCTGAGCGGGGCGGTGCTGGGCGGGGCGGTGCTGGGCGGGGCGGTGCTGGGCGGGGCTGTGCTGGGTGGGGCTGTGCTGGGCGGGGCTGTGCTGGGTGGGGCGGTGCTGGGCGGGGCTGTGCTGGGTGGGGCTGTGCTGGGCGGGGCTGTGCTGAGCGGGGCGGTGCTGAGCGGGGCGGTGCTGGGCGGGGCGGTGCAGGGTGGGGCTGTGCTGGGCGGGAGTGTGTTGTCCTGGGCATAACGTAGCCTCCTTGAGGTGCTTCCGGGGCTTAGTGTCCCCGCGGCCCGGTCGTCGACCAGGCCTCCTGGTTACTGGACTGATCAACCAGGCTGTTAGACGCGGCTGCTCGCAGCCTGACGTATGAGTCACAGCCTGGTTGATCAGGTCTCACCTACAGTGGTGTTACAATACGACTCTCCCACCAGCCTCGCGCCCGTCCACAATAGTAATGCCTCAGCCATTACTATTGTCACTGTCACAGCCATTACCACTTGCCATGCTGGTAGTTTGTGGCCAGCGAGGCACTATCAAGACGGCCGCACCAACACCACAGCGAGGCGCGGCTAACCCTTCATGGACACCATACAAAACACAAGTTGATTTGGCACTTAAACCCATAACAGCTCTAACCTGATTGTCACACAACAGTGGTACACAGTGGGACCCCTATCCTCCCTCCCTCTCTTTCTTTCTTTCTTTCTCTTTCCCTCTTTCTCTATCTTTCTCTCTCTTTTTTGAAACTTAAAATAATGTTCTTTAGGGCGGTCAAATAACGTACCTAGTGAAACTGCAAGCAAGAGCTGTTATCCTACCTCAGCTCATATGAAGCCAGCTCCTAGAAACTCCTTTATTTCATGATAATATACTTTGAAACTATCACATAGGGAATTATCATAAAGGAACTATCATACAGGGAACTTGGTGAAAATGCAAGCAAGAGCTGTAATCCTTCCTCAGCTCAGTTGAAACCTTTTCCTAGAGGCTCATTTATTTCATGAGCCTGTTATATGAATCAGTAGGGATAGCCTTTATTCATTAATAACATTAGGGAAACAATCATATAAGGAACAGGATGAGCCTGTAGCCAGCTGTGTGCCAGAGTCTTCATGTGATCAGTTGACCTGATCTCTCGTGTATCAATCTGTTGAGCGAACAGTTCCAGATGCGAGTCAGCCTCGGAGTGAATGATCGCTGATGGTATGATGTTCTTTTGAAAGGCACTTCCAGCATGAGACTGTTGAAGGTTGAGAGTCTAGTGCTACGGGTGGGAACTACTGGTTGTCCACGAAGTTGGGCCAGGTGCGGAACTTTGAGTATGTTGGCCTTGTACATAGCAGTAAGACCACCAACGTCACCACGGTGTTGCAGGCTCTGATGATCAGACCGTTCCCACCAGACTTGGTCAAGACTAGAGATAAGCCTTTCTTGCACTTCTCTCCACTTTGTCCAACAGTCTGACGAATGATGGGGGGGGGGCGATCCAGGAAAGGGGCGCATACTCTAGACGAGAGCGAACTTGTGCTTCATATAAGGTTTTGCATCCCTTGCTCTCAAGATGGTGTGATATGCGCCGGTGGGCTGTAAGGTTCCTGGCTGCCTTTTGTGCTAGGTTAAGCACGTGGCTCTTCATTGTCATTGAAGCATTGAAGGGTAGAACTTCATTCCCAAGATGCTAATTTCATCTGTGAACTCTAAGGTTTTGCCACCTATTTGCAAGCCTGTCCGATTTGCCTGTATTAAGCCTGCAGTGCAGTCTGGTTATCATCAGCGCTTGTGTCTTCTCAGCCGCAAATGTGACCTGCCTCTCCTACCTCAGGTAGAAATCACAGAAAGTTTGTGATCGCGCTCTCTCTCTCTCTCTCTCTCTCTCTCTCTCTCTCTCTCTCTCTCTCTCTCTCTCTCTCTCTCTCTCTCTCTGTACTCACCTAGTTGTGCTTGCGGGAGTTGAGCTCTGGCTCTTTGGTCCCGCCTCTCAACTGTCAATCAACTGGTGAACAGGTTCCTGAGCGTACTGGGCTCTTTCATAGCTACACTTGAAACTGTGTATGGAGTCAGCCTCCACCACATCACTGCCTAATGCATTCCATTTGTCAACTACTCTAACACTAAAAAAATACTTTCTAATGTCTCTGTGGCTCATTTGAGCACTCAATTTCTACCTGTGTCCTTTTGTGCGTGTAGCGCCTTGTGTTAAATAATCTGCCTTTAAGTAATCTGTACGCTTGCTCTAGTATTTTTGGTGGAATGCGACAGCTTCATGAAGCGTCTGTCATATGCACAGTGGTGACGTTGCACGCAATTACAGTCGGGATAAAAGCAGAGAGACAACTCCACATCTGGCTTGTGTATTCACCTAGTTGTTCCTACGGGGGTTGAGCTCTGCTCTCTCGGCCCGCCTCTCAGCTGTCAATCAAATGTTTACTAACTTCTTTTTTTTATTTTCTTTTTTCCACACCACACACACACACACACCCCAGGAAGCAGCCCGTGACAGCTGACTAACTCCCAGGTACCTATTTACTGCTAGGTATCAGGGCATTCAGGGTGAAAGAAACTTTGCCCATTTGTTTCTGCCTGGTGCGGGAATCGAACCTGCGCCACAGAATTACGAGTCCTTCGCGCTATCCACCAGGCTACCAGGCCCCTGTGTGTGTGTGTGTGTGTGTGTGTGTGTGTGTGTGTGTGTGTGTGTGTGTGTGTGACAGCATGCGCCGTCACACAAGTTGTGGATGCTGTAGTGATGTGTGCACTTGTTGAGAGGTTGCAGGTGTTGATGGGTGTGACGGAGGGCGGCAGGTGTTGACGGGTGTGACGGAGGGCGGCAGGTGTTGACGGGTGTGAAGGAGGGCGGCAGGTGTTGACGGGTGTGAAGGAGGGCGGCAGGTGTTGACGGGTGTGAAGGAGGGCGGCACCTGGCTGACAGAGCAACTGTTGCGTCCTGTACATCAGCAGACCCTCAGTGTACACGGCAGTGATGAGGGAGAGCAGAGGGAGAGGGAGAGAGAGCAGAGGGAGAGGGAGAGAGAGCAGAGGGAGAGGGAGAGAGAGCAGAGGGAGAGGGAGAGAGAGCAGAGGGAGAGGGAGAGAGAGCAGAGGGAGAGGGAGAGAGAGCAGAGGGAGAGGGAGCAGAGGGAGAGGGAGAGAGAGCAGAGGGAGAGAGAGCAGAGGGAGAGGGAGCAGAGGGAGAGGGAGAGAGAGCAGAGGGAGAGAGAGCAGAGGGAGAGGGAGAGAGAGCAGAGGGAGAGGGAGAGGGAGCAGAGGGAGAGGGAGAGAGAGCAGAGGGAGAGGGAGAGACAGCAGAGGGAGAGGGAGAGGGAGCAGAGGGAGAGGGAGAGGGAGCAGAGGGAGAGGGAGAGAGAGCAGAGGGAGAGGGAGCAGAAGGAGAGGGAGAGAGAGCAGAGGGAGAGGGAGAGGGAGCAGAGGGAGAGGGAGAGAGAGCAGAGAGAGAGGGAGCAGAGGGAGAGGGAGAGAGAGCAGAGGAAGAGGGAGAGAGAGCAGAGGGAGAGGGAGAGGGAGCAGAGGAGAGAGGGAGAGAGTGCAGAGGGAGAGAGGGAGAGGGAGCAGAGGGAGAGGGAGAGAGCAGAGGGAGAGGGAGAGAGAGCAGAGGGAGAGGGAGAGAGAGAGCAGAGGGAGAGGGAGAGAGAGCAGAGGGAGAGGGAGAGAGAGAGAGAGGGAGAGGGAGAGGGAGAGAGAGGAGAGAGAGCAGAGGGAGAGGGAGAGGGAGCAGAGGGAGAGGGAGAGAGAGAGAGGGAGAGGGAGAGAGAGAGAGGGAGAGGGAGAGGGAAGGAGAGGGAGAGAGGAGAGAGGGAGAGGGAGAGGGAGAGAGGAGAGAGGGGAGAGGGAGAGAGAGCAGAGGGAGAGGGAGAGGAGAGAGAGAGAGAGGGAGAGAGGAGAGAGAGAGCAGAGGGAGAGGGAGGAGAGAGGGAAGAGGGAGAGGGAGAGAGAGGGAGAGGAGAGAGGAGAGCAGAGGGAGAGGGAGAGGGGAGAGAGAGGGAGAGGGAGAGAGAGCAGAGAGGGAGAGGGAGAGAGAGCAGAGGGAGAGGGAGAGAGAGCAGAGGGAGAGGGGAGAGGGAGCAGAGGGAGAGGGAGAGAGAGCAGAGGGAGAGGGAGAGAGAGAGCAGAGGGAGAGGAGAGAGAGAGCAGAGGGGAGAGGGAGAGAGAGCAGAGGGAGAGGAGAGAGAGAGCAGAGGGAGAGGGAGAGAGAGCAGAGGGAGAGGGAGAGAGAGGAGGAGAGGGAGGAGAGAGCAGAGGGAGAGGGAGAGAGAGCAGAGGGAGGAGAGGGGAGAGGGAGCAGAGAGAAACAAGCTGGAGCTCAGTGATCGATACCTCCCCTTATGGTAACCACCACCCACCACACCAACCATGCATCACCACCCACCACACCAACCATGCGTCACCACCCACCACACCAACCATGCCTCACCACCCACCACACCAACCATGCCTAACCACCCACCACACCAACCATGCCTCACCACCCACCACACCCAACCATGCCTCACCACCCACCACACCAACCATGCCTCGCCACCCACCACACCAACCATGCCTCACACCACCCACCACACCAACCATGCCTCACCACCCACCACACCCAACCATGCCTCACCACCCATCACACCAACCATGCCTCGCCACCCCACCACACCAACCATGCCTCGCCACCCACCACACCAACCATGCCTCACCACCCACCACACCAACCATGCCTCACCACCAACCACACCAACCATGCCTCGCCACCCACCACACCAACCATGCCTCACCACCCACCACACCAACCATGCCTCACCACCCACCACACCAACCATGCCTCACCACCCACCACACCAACCATGCCTCACCACCCACCACACCAACCATGCCTCACCACCCACCACACCAACCATGCCTCACCACCCACACACACAACCATGCCTCACCACCCACCACACCAACCATGCCTCACACCACACCACCACACACACATGCCTCACCACCCACCACACACACCATGCCTCACCACCCACCACACCAAACCATGCCTCACCACCCACCACACACACCATGCCTCACCACCCACCACACACACCATGCCTCACCACCCACCACACCAACCAAGCCTCATCACCCACCACACCAACCATGCCTCACCACCCACCACACCAACCATGCCTCACCACCCACCACACCAACCATGCCTCACCACCCACCACACCAACCATGCCTCACCACCCACCACACACACCAACCATGCCTCA